CCCACCCAGAGACCCACAGAGGGAGCGCGCCCGTGCCCCCCGGTGTCCGGAGGGCATAAGGTGGCGGTTTTGCCTTTCCCTTGTGTTCGTGGACGTTTAAGCTCTCCCTGTCCACTGCGAGCCGGCCCACAGGACACTGTGCTCGCCTGCGGGGAGACCTACCCGCCGCCTTCACCCCAGGCCCCCCGCACAGCGGCCTGCTCCGGACCTTCCGTGGTCTCCAGTCCCCAGAAGCCTAGCCTTTCCTGCTGAGAGGAAACAGATGTTTCTTCAAAAAGCCCTGAGGCACAGATTATTTTTGCAAATTGTTTGTCCTGAGGACACTGGTCAAGAACCAAAATAAATGTCCTTCAAAGTGCGCTGGATTCTCTGACTGATGTGGCTGGTTGGTTGGGCATCATCCATGCACCAAATGGTTGCTGGCTCAATTCCTGATCAGGGCACATGTCTGGGTTGAGGGCAGGATCCCTGGTAGGGGGCGTGTAAGAGGCAACATAGACTTTTTAAAAATATATTTTTATTGATTTCAGAGAGGAAGGGAGGGAGAAAGAGAAACATCAATGATGAGAGAGAATCACTGATTGGCTGCCTCCTGCACATCCCCTACTGGGAATCGAGCCCAACCAGAATCAAAACAGGGACCCTTCAGTCCGCAGGCCAATGCTCTATGCACTGAGCCAAACCAGCTAGGGCAGCGTAGATGTTTCTCTCCCTTTCCCTTTCTCTCCCTAAAAGTCAACTTAAAAAAAAATAGTGCTCTGGAATTCCTTTTGTTCTGTAAATTGAGTCTCAACTCCTGGGGCCTCATACACCTGCTCCTCCCAGTGGGTGAAATGTGGGGCTGTGGCTGTGGCTGAGTCAGGGAGCAAGGGACCAGCTCTTTAGTGGGGACCCACCAACCCTGCTTTGGAGCTCCCATTTCTGCATGAATCAGGGAGTGTCTCTTCTCTTAGTCTGGGGCAGTAGCCCCCTGGCCATGCACAGGAGCCAGCTCTGTCCTCTGTGGTGAAGGTGGGACACAGACATAGGAGCAGCTGTAGCAGTACTAGCCAAGAGGTGCTTCATGGGAAGTGGGGCTCAGACTCTGGAGAGGCTGGGAGGGGAGCCGCCCCCAGCAGCCCCTCTCATCATCAGAAGCTGGTACAGCTTTCTACATCCACATTGCCCTGTGTGCCAGGCCCTGGCTGGCCCCTGGTGCAGGAAGACAAGAAGGTGCAATAGAGAAACAACATTTGACACTGTCCTGCACCAGAGATTGAGAGGTGTAGCTGATCTACCTAATACATAGTCACAAACCCAAACAGGCAGCCAAAATGGGGAGACAAAAAAACAACAACAAAAAACCCTCCCAAATGAAAGAACAAGAAAATTTTCCAGAAGAAGAGATAAATGAAATGGAGGTAAGAAATTTATCTGATACAGAGTTTAGAATAATGATAGTAAAGATGCTCAACAGCATGAGAAAAGTTATAGTAACTATGAAAAAAGGACAGTTGGAAATAAAGAATGACACAGCACTAAGAAAGAACACATTGGAAAGAAAACAGCAGATTAGGGGAAACTGAGGATCAAATCAGTGAATTAGAACAGCGGTCGCCAACAGGTGGCCTGTGGACCACTGGTGGTCTGTGAGGTCCGAAAGGTAGGCGACCGCTGAATTAGAAGAAAGGGTAGAAAAAATCACTCAATCAGAGAACCAAAAGAAAAGACAATTAAAAAAAAACAGAAGGACAGCTTAAGGAAGCTGTGGGACAACATGAAACATTACATTTGCATAGATGTGCCAGAAGGGGAAGAAAGGAAGCAAAGGCCGAAACCGGTTTGGCTCAGTGGATAGAGCGTCGGCCTGCGGACTCAAGGGTCCCAGGTTCGATTCCGGTGAAGGGCATGTACCTGGGTTGCGGGCACATCCCCAGTAGGAGATGTGCAGGAGGCAGCTGATCGATGTTTCTCTCTCATCGATGTTTCTAACTCTCTATCTCTCTCCCTTCCTCTCTGTAAAAAATCAATAAAATATATTAAAAAAAAAAAAGAAAAGAAAGGAAGCAAAGGATAGAGAACAAGTGTGAAGAAATTACGGCAGAGCCCTGGCCAGGTTGGCTCAGTGGATTGAGCGTCGGCCTGCTGACTAAAGGATCCTGGGTTCGATTCTGGTCAAGGGCACATGCCCGGGTTGCAGGCTCGATCCCCAGTAGGGGGCGTGCAGGAGGCAGCCAATCAATGATTCTCTCTCATCATTGATGTTTCTCTCTCCCTTTCCCTTCCTCTCTGAAATCAATAAAAATATATTTAAGAAAAAAAGAGAAAAAAGAAATCATGTCAGAAAACTTCCCTAACCTGGTGAAGGAAAAAGTCACACAAGTTCAGGAGACAAATAGAATCCCAAGTAAAAAGAACTCAAACAGGCCCAT